TATTTCGAGATTTGTAGTTTATCGGTTTGAGATTCTAATCCTTTTAAGTTACTGAATTAATAATTACTAATATTTTATACATATATACTAAATTACTTGAAGGGAAAATTTGGAGCAACGATAAAACTATTTCCATATGACGTATAGGTCACGGATTTGAGCCGTGGAAGCAGCCAATAATATTTGCATTAGGGTAGATTGTTTACCTCACACCCTTTAGGGTACGGACCTTCTTCGAACCTTGTATGAATGCTGAATACTTTGTACATCGGGTTGTCCTTGTTTCTTATATACTGAAAGACATATACAAAATTTGGACTAAAATTAATAGTTTCAATCGAACTCGTAACCTACACTGACTAGCTAATTATTCTTTATTTTACATGTTTTCAACTTTGAAATAACTTTTGAAGAGTACATAATTAATATAATGAAGGATGAGAGTGAGATCAAGCTGTGTGCAGGGCAAAATGAAAAGTAGCTTTTGTTGTGTTGGGTGTTTTCCTTTTAGGGAGAAATGTTAAACGTGATAAGGCCTCCTCACTTTCTTCTTGGCTCTTGCCTGTTTTAAACAAAGTTCCATATCAGTTTAGCTGGCTCAGTTTTCTTCCGTACAATAGCTGTACATTTTGTTCAGGGTTCACTCCAGCTACTCCTTGATAATCTTTGTCTCGCAATGATTAATACTACTCCCACAGTTCTAATTTACGTGAACCTGTTTGACTGAATACGGAGTTTAAGAAAAATAAAAGACTTTTGGAATTTGTGGTCCTAAATAAGTCAAAAAGAGAGACCCTGCGTGGTTAAAAAAACATCTCATTAAGGTTAGAATTGGAAGCTTAAACTAAATTGTTTTTAAATTTAGAAATGGGTCATTTTTTTGGAACGAACCAAAAAGGAAATAGATTCACATAAACAGCAACAGAGGGAGTACTATTTTCGAAATTTTACTGACACAATTAATTTTGATTCGCCTATTAAAAAGGATAAATAGTTCTCCACCAAGAAATTCTTTATTCCAAAGGCTCGGATACAAGACATTCGGTTAAAGATAAAACCCTTAAGGGTCGTTTGGTTGGAATGCGATTTATACCGGTATAAGTTATGCCAATATAAATTATATTGGGATAAGTTATGTTGGGATTAGTTATGCTGGGATTGTTGTTTATTCATTGTTTGGTATGTTGTATTAAGAATGACAATTGCATAATTTCTAAAAAGAAGATATAAATTATACCAGTGCTAATTACCCCACTTTCTATAAGGTATAAGTTATCCCAGTGTTAAAATTAATACCGAAATAACTTATACGTAATTTGCTAACCAAACAAAGTATTAATGTGGTATTAAATTTTTATACCACTCTTATATCTTCTTATATCTCATACCAAACGACTCCTTAGTGGCGTAATGATTAGTATCCTAGTAGTCTAGTACGTTACATGGCTTAAATGAAAATTACACTATATGCGGAGGAGAGGCAGAGTCCGAATTTAATTTTCATGGATTCAAAATTATATGAAGTCACATCAGGTGATAGTAATTGAGTTTTGAATTAAATTTGTTGTACATATTTAATGACTTTCTTGATATGCATATTAGGTAGGTTTGGACTAAAATTAATGGGTACGATGTAACCAGATCGAGGCGGAGTTAGAGAAGTAGATACGAGTTAGGATGAACCCAATAATTTTTGCTTAGACCTTGTATTTGTATTAATAAATTTATTATATATGTATAAATATTTAATTGTGAACACATTAACTAAACGAGTTATGGATTCAAGGATAACTTTAGAAAATAAACTTTAAATTTCGGCTCCGCCTCTAAACATGTATTACCTTCTGCCTCCGCCCCTAACTATGGAGCACTACTATTTTTTTTCTTTTTCGTCAGCCTGTCAATCTTTGTGTTCTAACTGTTTGATAAATTGAAGATTATATATTCAAGTGTCTTAAATCATAGGTTCGAGTCGTGAAAATAGCTATTATGTTTGTATTAGGTTAAACTGTCTATGTCACAGGTGCGGGCATAACTCATAATGGGTCATTCCCCGAACCCTACGTGAATTCGGAATACTTTGTTCACCGAAGTGCCCTTTAATACTGTGAGGTCGTATGATCATCCAGGTGATATATGGAATGGAATCCTTATCATCCACGTTGGTGTCCAGCAAATTTTCATATTTGTGGATATACTTTTTCTGTCCTTCTCATAATCTTTAACCTCACCAGTACTATTATTCTTTTCCTTTTTTTTTTTTGCCA